ACTCATGCCCTTCCTGCGCATGTTTTTCATGTGCAGATCCAGGTACTTCGACTCAGTCCTATCACCCCTGAGGCGAGGCGACTGCTATAGCGACTTCGAGGTATATTTGTCGTGTTCGGTGACCGAGGAGTCTCTTTCTATTCTTGTTGTTTAGTATTAGCCCTTCTGTATTTCAGTTCTTGTTAGACATTCTGGAGTTAGAGCTATGTAGTACTTCTTAGCTTGTGATTCATGGGTTTCCGGGTTTTGGGAATATGTATTAGTTTTTTAGAGTTAACGTTGTGTATGTCGAGCGGCACTTTTAAACGTTGTTTTACTACTCTATCTCTGTTTTAACTTTTTACTTCCGCAAATTGGTTTATTTTCCGCATTTTAGGCTTACCTAGTCGTAGAGACTAGGTGTCGTCATGATGGTTCATGGAGGGCAAACCGGGGTTGTGACAAAATATTTGTGTTTCCTTCTTGTTGAATATTACTTGCAATTAAAAGCCTATTGTTTAGTTTAGGAAAGCATGCCTAAGTGACTTAATTGTTCTACCTGCTTAAACTGTTACTTGAATTCTGTGCCGCATGTTTAGAATAGAAATATCTGTTTTCTTGGTATGAATTGTGATAGAACTGTATATTCTTCTTGAGACTTTTGTGTTTACTTTGGGACTACGGGACGATATCCTGGGAGATCCCCTTGCACGTTTACTTTGGGACTACGGATCGGTATTCCGGGAGATCCCCCTGCACATTTATATTTGGGACTACGGGACACATCCCGGGAGATTTCCCTTGTATCGGATATTTACTTTGGGACTACGGATTGGTATTCCGGGAGATCCTCTGGACATTTACGTTTGGGACTACGGGACGATATCCCGAGAGATCCCCTGTTGCTAGCTCTGCGTGCTAAGTTATATTCCTGCCATGATTCTATTCTTTATTGACTGTTAGTATTTTAGTTATACTGTCGCATTTCATACTGTTTTTCCTTGTTTTTATTTATATAACCAGTAGGGCCCTGACCTTCCTCGTCACTACTCGATCAAGGTTAGGCTTGGCACTTACTGGGTACAGCTGGTGTACTCATGCCCTTTCCTGCACATGTTTTTCGTGTGCAGATCCAAGTTCTTCTGCTCAGTCATTCTATCAGTGAGGCGGGCGATATTAGAGACTTCGAGGTATATCTACCGCGTCCGCAGATCCAGAAGTCCCTCTCTATTCTTCCCTTAGTTTTAGACTTCCTGTATTTACTTTTGATTAGACATGCTGGAGTTAGAACACTGTGTACTTTCTATAGCTTGTGATTTCATGAGACTCCGGGTTTTGGGAGTTTTGTTTTAGTTTTGAGAGTGTGCATTGTATATGCCAAGAGGCATTTCAAACTGTTTTATTATGCTTTAAATCGTAAAATGCCAGTTTCGCATTTTATTTCCTTTTTTCGCTACTTGTTAGGCTTACCTAGTCATAGAGACTAGGTGCCGCCACAACAGTTCACAGAGGGAGAACTTGGGTCGTGACAAAAGATAATAAGAAGGTAAGATAATTTTGAACATTAGTAGAGAGTTTTTAAAATTATTATAATAGAANTAAAAAAAACAAAATCGTATGGAATATTTACATAAATCTAGCCAGATTTATTCATTTCTTTTTATAGCTAATATAAATAGATGATATACCGACAACACACGATTATACACATATTACATATGGATTATATATAAATTACACATCCTTCAATTTTTTTAATTTATGTGGTCGGGTGAGCACCTATTTAGAATGATTAGATAAAGCCAAAAGAAAACTATGAAAGAATTTCAACCAAAGACTAAAAATATAAATAAAGTTCTTATGTAGGTAATTTCAATTAAAACTCATCCTTTTATAGTGTAATAAATTAATTTTGTAACAAAATAAAGAATGACATAAAAATAAGATAAAGAAAATAAATGTTGAAAAAAATGTATGAAAGATCTAAAAACCAGAAATAAGAGATGACAATAAATTTCTTCTTATGNTTCATCTTTTTTGAGTATAAAAAATTTGGAAGCTAATCTCATCGATTTTAAATATTTTTTTTCAACTCAAATACACAGATTATAAGATAAGAGTATCTTAGAATATTTTTTTATTTATATTGTATGCCGTTTTAAAAAATCACTATTACTAACAAACTGATATAATATTCGAATTTGAATATAAATGCAATTTGAGTAGTTTGTATTGAGGTTAAGCCAAGAACGGTGTCGAAATATAAACTACTTGGCAATTTTAAGACAATATATGCAGTGTTTTATAATAACAATCAACTAATTTAATATTTAATGATTCAAAGAACAAATTTTTTGTATATATAGGGTATTAAGAATTAAAAATCTATGGCTAGAGATATCGATAAACTTAAAATGGAGTCATACAGAAATAAAGATTTTCCGGCTAAAGAATTATTTAAATTTTTAGATAGCCGATTAAACTGAATTTTAAATTAAGGATAATATCTTCACTTGCATCATTATAAAGATAATCATTATTGAAATATATATATACAAAGTTTTAGAAATTGGAATTTCAAAATAGAAATATTTTTTGAAAGATAATATCATACCAAATAAGAGTTCAAGTCGTAGTAAAAGAGTCACGTCGTAATCAAAGAATCATTTATATTGTGTCAACCTTTATGCTTTGCCATAAATATGAGTTATTATTTCGCTTTCTGGCTATTTTTTGGTTCCAATGACACCAATGAGAATATTGCAAAAATAAAATTATCGCTACGAGATTTGAAAAAATGTTAGTCTTTTTTCATGTAGTGTTTCTTAATTAATATCTAACGATTATCTATAATTATTTAGAAGGTTTAAATTTTAAGGTTATTAACATATATTTCAAATAACTTAGACATTTAACATGGTTAATATCAAATATCAAAATGGAGTCATACTGGGAAAAAAAATCACTGGCTAAAGAAATTTTTAAATTTTTAGATAGGCAACTAAAATGAGTTTTGAATTAAGGATAATATTTTCACTTATATTATTATAAAAGTAATTATTATTGAAAAATAAAGTTTTAGAAAGTAAAATTTTAAAAAAGAAATATTTTTAAGAGATATCAACACACCAAATAAGAGTTCAAGTAGCAGTAAAAGAGTCAACTCGTATCCAAAAAGTCATTCATAGTCTCAACATTTGACTGTTTTGCTATAAATGTGAGTTATTATTTTGCTTCGTGACTATTTTTAGGATCCAATGACACCGGCGGGAATGGTATCAAAAAAGAAAAATAGAAGAAACGGTTAATTGTTTTCATGTAGTGTCTTTTTGTTAATATCCATTGACTATCTATATTTATCGAGAAAGTTTAAAATTTAAGATTATTTACATATAATCCAAATAACTTCAATATTTGACATGATTAGTGTTCGCGCATCCGTGCGGGTGCTAATACTAGTTTAATAAGTAAGACTATTATTTAAAGTTCCTAAATATTAGAAAAAAAATAAAATGACAATTTGTCTCATTTAAAATATTTTTTTAAAGGGTAAAAAGGCGAACGACATTTTGCTAAGGACCTTCGTGCTTTTAGTATAGCTAGTACTAGTATAGTATGTAGTGATAGATAGATAGATAGATAGATAGATAGATAGATAGATATAAATATAGATTTATGTTTTATGTAATTTTAAGTTTTAATATATAGTATTATTTCCTGAATACACTTGAAACATGTGAGTTGCGTATGGGGAAAAAATCTTTATTTTTTCTCTAAACACTAAAGAAAATGAGCAATTATTACAAATATTATTCTTTGTTAGGCGTGCCCTAGCTAATATTGAGAATTTAAAACATAATTAAGGGTGAAATTCAAAAATAGCCAGATATATAGATGGTAATTGAAAAATAGTCACAGTTTCAAAAGTAATCGAAATTTAGCCACTTTTTATGTAAAGATAAATCTGAACAAAAACACTGTCAAAATCTAGAAATATTCCAGCATAATATGTTGGAGTTCGAATTTTTTACATATGAACTTCTAGCATAATATGTTGGAGTTTTATAATGTGCCGGAGTTCCATCATAATATGCTGGAAGTTTATATGTAGGAGCTCCATAATCCAACATATTATGGTGGAAATAATCCAACATATTATGCTGATACTTTCCTTGTTTCAGCAAAACATGGGTATTTTTCAACGACTTCGCAAATGCTGGCTATTTTTCAATTACCAGTAGGGATGCTTATCGGGCGGATTATTTTGCTTAACGGTTCGCCTTATCGGTTATCGGATTATAAATGTAATAATCTGCTAGCCATCCAATAAGATAACGGGCGGATTGGTATCAGATTAACGATTATCGGACGGTTTATTGGCTAAATAATAAAAAAGAATTTGAACCCTTAGTTCTTTTGGTTGCATAGTTAAGATTAAACACTTGAACTTGTGAAGTCCAATTTGGAAAGAGCCAAGAGTTATCATGGTACAAACTGGCATAATATATTTTCTTGATCACCTTGAACTCTTTGGTAGTAGGATGAAAACCAAATCCATAGACCAATTCTCGCACAAGAAATTCTAGAGTTATAGGCGGCTCTTTGCAATCACTTGTAAAAGGATTGTACACGTAAACTGCATTACTAAACAGATGATCACATATACACAGTAGTCCGTGACACGAGTCGAATCCAATAGTACAGGGATAAAAGTATAAATATAAAAATTCTTAACGGGTTAACGATTTATCCTATAAGAAAATTGAGTAATCCACCTCCAAACCGTTAAGCCGTTAATTGTAAAATCTCAATCCGTTCACTAACCATTACCCTGATAACCCGATACCAATAAGCCATCGATTCGGTTCGGTTAACGATTACGGTTCGGTTTTGAGCAGCCCTAATTACCCGTAAAAAACAGGTTAGTCCGTGCTATTTTGACCTTAATTATACTATTTCATTGATAAAGATAAAAACGTAAGTACTAAAACATAATTAAAACATAAGTAACATAAATTGAAGGGATAACTAAAAGGACTCGGGAAAACCATAAGTAGATAGATCGCGACGCAGTCGCCGCGCAAAACCTCTGTTTCAGGCCACGAATCGTTCGCAGACCAACTGATCTATTTTTTTGAAGTTGAAAAATAACGAATCGAGGAAGCGAATTTGATTTAAATAGAAGAGATGGCCAAGACAAAGCATCAAAAGGCCAAACCCAACAAACAATCCCATGTACGTTCCTTCAAAATAATTTAAACTCCTTATCTCTACTGTTTTCGCTCTTTGTTAATCAAATTTATTGGTGAAAGCATAGGAGGTCTGAAAGATATGGGTTACCACATGTGAATACCAGATAAAAAACAGTCTAATTATGATGAATTGTACAGATGATTCATATAAGGGATTTCAATTAGTTTGGGATTTAAACACATTTGATTAATTTCTATATTTTTTTCATGCCACCTTAGGCTGAGAAATTCTTGTTAACGCCAAGGGTGTGGAGGAGAACGATGAGGTTTCAGGTTCAAATCTTAGGGGAGGCGAAAACACTAAGTGATTTCTTCCATCTGCCTAAGTTTAGGCGGGTAGAGTAGCTGGTACCTGGTACCTGGTACCTGTGTGGTGGGAGGTAGCAGGCGCCATTGTCATAAAAGAAGTGTTGAGCTAACATAGTGTGATTCTGTTCGCTTTGGACCAAGTCACACAGTTTTCCCCAAAAGGCCTCAGTATTCCCACTTTATATGTAGCTTCGCAATTTTTGTTGTCGTACACCAAACAAATTTTTTTTACTTCAGATGGTGTAAATATGGAAATTGAGTGTGCTGGTTAACAATATACTGAGGCTATGTGCTTTCTTTGTTACTGTTGTTGTGCTGAATCATGCATATGCAACAGGCTAAAAAACATGGGAAGCAGGCTGATATATCTGAATTTCGAGCTCAGCTTGATGCATTGGGCTTAAAAATTATTCAAGTGACGGCAGATGGAAATTGTTTCTTCAGGTTTGTACTTAGTAAGATACCCCTTTTTCTACATGTTGGTCTGTATCATAATCCGCGTGAATGTGTATGTAAACTCGATGCATGTTCATCGTTTGGTTTAGAAATGCATAAGATGTGACCTTAATCTATATTAGGGTTGTATATCTAAGCAATGTATTTTAATACTTAGCAAGTTCTTGAGGTTTCCATGCCACATGTAATAGTAAAGAGTGCTTACTTGAGCTTCTGGATAAAGGTTAAGCAATCACTGTATTTACGCAGGGGATTAGCTGATCAATTGGAAGGCAATGAGGAGGAGCATGAGAAATATCGGGATATGGTTGTAAAGTTTATCAGGGTACGAGTTCTTCAGATGACTTGATTTTATTTCAGTATGCTATCAGGTGACATGGAATTATCTCCGTGCAATCTTGTCATTCAATGCAAGATACACTCAGGATACACCTAGGAACAGTATTTGGTAGCTATGATGTTGGTGTTATTTGTAGTTTGGTTATGAATATCCTGTTGTATTAAAAAAATAGGGATAAAAGGGATATTGAGGTTAAAGTTAAATTTTGAAATAGAGGGGTTACTGTGTAATTAGAAAAACCTGAAAATTACAACGAATAATAAAGCCTACGATGCTTGGGATAGGAAGTAGGAGGAATTAGAAGTTCTGAAACTTGGAATGAATTAGGGATCTGGAATCATGAAATTTCACAGCTACCAGCCAGGGTTTCATATGAGATTCCGAAGGAAGAGGGCAAGGGGGAGAAGCAAAATTGAAGTTGTCTGGTTGCAGGATTTCGAACAGGAAGGTGATTTAGGTAAAAAAAAAAATTAGTAATACAAGAAAGAACACAATCTGGCTTTATTCTCAAAGTTTGCATTTTTCGACAGTATCTGTATTTGATATGAGCTCCGTAATCAGTATTCGTAGTTACACTAAATAGCTGAAGATGTTTTTCACAAGTGGTAGGATTTTTAAGTTTATTAATAGTTCAGAAAACCTTAATTAAAACAATCAAACTTCACTAAGAGGATTCATATAATTATCCCAATTAGTTTGGTATTGAGGCACAAATGGATTTTGTGAAAAGTTTATGTTAGGATGTAATCTCTAACTGTGTTGAGATTCTTACGTTCAATTACAGTTCTACTGAGAAGTAATGTCATTTTGGCAAGGCAAGAAGAAGTAGCTTAGAAACTTAAGTTTCTTCTACAGCTGTTGTTTTAAATTTTCCTTTATTTTCACTCTCTAGTGTCTACCTTTATTTTCCTCCTACGGTTTTGGCCTAGTGGTAAGAGCATAACGGGTAAAGTGTGGGTTAGACGGACATCACGAGTTCGAATCCTGGGCAGACAAAAAAGCCTGGCATTTAGTGGAGAAGGTAGAGGGGCGGGCCCATTATCCATCAAGTTTTGAATCGTGCACTAGCTGGCCTCAAGGATTTCTTGGTTATTAAAAAAAGAAAAAAGAAAGTGTCTACCTTTACTCTCTTCTCTGAGCTTATTCCCCATAATTTGTCAGCAAAGCTGCTGACACCGTCAATGTTATCTATATATTTCTCTGGCATGAAGGCAGGAAGAACTGAGCCATGCTTGTGACATATATGCTATGTACTATTTTTGTCATATTGTTCTATCCTCTGACTAGTGTTACTCCCGAACGCACACGCAAATATACGTGGTCGACAAGTAATATAGGGTTGTAAGTCCAGATATCGTACCCACAGGGATTTGTGATTAACTATCAACTATATTAAACCCAAACAATTAATCTGTTCAAGCGAATCTTAAAGTATGAATAATTAACTCAAACTAATCTAGAGTAACAAACGAAGAGATTAAAGAAAAACAAGTGGGCAATATTAGAGAAGAATTCAATGAGAGAAAATATTCTAGAGCTATGGGTTAGCTAACAATCCCGTTGAGTTTTCTACCTAAATTGTCTAATTAATTTTTCTAGTTTATTGATTGACGGGGTTAATATTGCTCATAGCCTTCTCCCGAAGTACAACTCGCCTATTCAAGCTAACCTAACGCCTATATTCCTATGGAATTAGGATTAACAAGAACACATTTATAATTCCCGTATAATAACCAAGCAAGGCGATTAGGTATATTCCTATCCTAACCACAAATCTTTTCCCGATACTCGAGTTCAAGATCTTGCTCTATTCAATCTTATATGCAATCTAGAATTCTCTCTCCCCAGTTCAATCCTAGATTCGTAAATAGTATTCAATTGGTGATCAAGCAATCAAATAATTAAGTGCAAGATTGAATAAATAAACCAATATAACAAAATAATAAGAACAATTCAAGCTTCAAACTACAACGTTCATGTAGCATCCAAACTCTAGAACTAATAAACTATGAGATTACAGGAAGAGGAGAAGAAAAACTAGTTAGAAGCCTCCTCCAAGCGTGGTGTGTGTTCCCCCCACGTGAATTCTCCTTCAAAGTATGTTAGATCCCCTCCAAATTAGGTTTAGGACCCCTTTTATACGAGTTGGGACCGTGTAGGGCCAAAATAACCTTGTCCCAGACGAAATAGGAGAAATCCCCCCCCCCCCCTAGCGTCCAGACCAGCGCCTAGCGCTGGACTTGGCGCTGAAAGCAGTAACATTTTTGCAATTTCAATTCTTCTCTCGATTTGAATTGGATTTCATTATTTTCTTGTCTTACATTGGGGGGACAAACACCAAAGGGTGTCCCCCATTTTTTTATTCTTTTATTTCTTTCTTTTTCTTCCCCGTTTTATTCAATTTTGCTGCAAATCTCTTCATCTTCACACTGCTTTATTCCTACACAGTTAAAATACGATATTAAGCACAAAGTAATATGATTAATAGTCAAAAGATGATTAAAAGTATTGGAATGTAAGGCAACAATGGGTAAATATATGTATTTTTGACCGAATATCAACTAATGTGCAGGGTGGTCGGGGAGAGGAGTGTTGGAATCTGCTGAGAGTCCAATATGTCTGCACATTAGTCATAGGATAGAACTATTGCAGGGTGGGTCTGGGAGAGGGGTGTTGGAATCCTATGACTATATGCTATTTTCTAACTACTTTTGGAGTGTTTTCTTCAGTTTCAACTTAGACTGCAAAATTATTCATCTATTGATTTTTTAGGACATTTGCTATCAAGTGTTTTTTTGGGTCCATGTTTGTCTAGCCACGATAAGGACTTTTTTGAACAAATAATTGTTCAGATAGTTATGATGTTAGCCAAGTGCTCTCGTATATGAAGATATTACTTGTTTCCAACAAGCTCTTTTGATTTTGATATAGCAAAAATTGCTAATAACCTCCACTGCAACCTCCAAGGCATCACTTTTGTCTTTAGTTTTTGTGTATCCTAGTTCTGCTGTTACATCATGTTCTCTAGTACTTAGTACACTGAAACAGATTTTTAAGGTACTAATAGTGGAGCTATATTTAACAGAATAACCGTGATAAATTTGAGCCTTTTATTGAAGATGAAGTACCATTTGATGAATATTGTGAGTCCATGGAGAAGGATGGCACTTGGGCTGGACATATGGAATTACAAGCAGCTTCTCTTGTTACTCATACTAATATATGCATTCACCGAGTACGTCTTCTCCCCCCACTTAATCCCTCTTATACTTCTAGGCAGTTCTTGATTCTTTAGAACATCTAGATCTTTAAACATAAAAGTTGCTCATTTCATGCTCTGACTGATGTCCAAGGGATTTTAGATTGACTGACTTTTTACGTTCAATGTGGTACAGCATATGTCACCTCGCTGGTACATACAGAATTTTGACAACCGTGATTCTCGGATGCTTCATCTGTAAGTGTTGAAAGAATATGAGGTTTCAGCTTTCACTTGCTTATGCATTTGTTTGTCCAGATATTGTTATTCTTCTTAATGTTATACAATATTTTATTATCATATAAAGCATGCTATAGTTTGACTCAATAAGAGTAAAGTAGAGCCCCTCCACAACATGTTTTTCTTTAGTTGTTTAACAGGAACATTTCTTAGCTGGGTTAGGATTGTTGGAGGACTGATACGAGTCATTTTCATTAATATATTTATTTAGGGCAGTTATAATTGGCATTTAGCAGGTTTACCATCAGTGTTGTCAAAGGCTCATGCTTAAACCCTGAAGCTCAAAAAGGTTCAGGGAGGGCGCTTCCCTCGCTAAAGCTACGCTTCTATGTAGGCAAGGCACTAAGGCGTGCGCCTTATTGCCCATACATTCTATTAAACACAAATATAATTGGCAAAGAGATGCTAATTGTTAAGGAAAATTATGAATGGATTTGTCACTTTTTTCTTGCATTACAGATATATTTTTATTGTTTTTCTTCATTGCGCCTTGTTTTGCTTAAAGCCCTGATAGACCTGAACCGCTTTTTAAAGCTTTTCGCCTTTAACAACATGCTGCATTCGCGTTGCAATAATAGAATAGTCTTATGGGAGATGAGTTTTAGTATATTAGTTGTTGGAGGAGAAAGAGGAACTAGATGCGGAATAGACAGTCTGGTACTTTTATTGAAGGTAAAAGTTGTTTTGTTTTTATTTATAGTTTACATTCTCTGCGACCAGTCTAATTTTGTATTTGCTAATGTCATTCTTATAGAACAAAAGAGCGTCATGGCAGAAACTCGTAATTGATAGCTTAACTGAAGGAGGAGGAAAATTCAGTATAGTACTATCTATGATATGTTCCAGTGCTCGACATTTAGTTATATCTCCTGTTCTTTGAAGCTTCTTTTCTTTCAGAGACCCAGTTGAATGTTTGTAACCTTGTTCCTCCATCATGATTCTCCTAGTTGTCCTCATGCTTGCTGTTTATTTCTTCACTTCAAAGTCTTCTTTGGTTTTTTTTTTTGGGAGTGAGGGGGGGGGGGTGG